TCTAAAGTGATTCTGTGATTCGTCGACCACCACGACCACCAATTAACATGCTCTAGCCAATGGCGTTAGACCTTGCAAACGGTGCGACCTAACAGCCACCCCAACATTGTAAATTCTGCTTCTGGATCCTTCTCTGGTTGGTTACCCAATATTGGTGGTTCACTAGACTTGATGCGTTGAAAATCAGTAACTCCCAGCATGATATGAACAGGTAGGGTGTCTCCAGTTGACTTCTCTTCACTAATGTTTAGTCGACGCAGGCGTGGTTGCTTCCTCTTCACTTGCTCAACGTTTGGATTTGGTAAATGGGTCAGGATGGGTTTCTCTGCGTTGATGCACTCCAGGTCAACTTTGAATTCGTTCCCGATTGTCGATTTAACAGTTACGTTGTAAACCTTAACGACTTTGGTCATTGATCCAGCAACGTCTCTCCTTCCTGGCTGGCTGTAATCCTAACTTGGTAATAACATCAGTACAGATATACGAACTGCTCTCTCCTGTATCAATCATGAGACGCACTTGTTTGCCTTCGACATTTGCGAGTAAGGTTGGGTGAATTGCTGAAGTGTTTTGAAGGGTACTACTCATACTCTTTTCCATTAGGCTGTTGTTCATACCATCCAGACATCCAGTCACGATTTTTCCTGTTGTCGGCATATTGAGGTATGGTGCTTCTCCCACACTTGTGCCACCCTCGCGCACGGCATGTTGATGCAGGATGTCCTGGTAATACACATTTGAAGCAAGCTTTCTATTAATTGCCTCATTATGCCCCGACGATCAGCCACACTCAAAACCTTTGTACACTTTACAGCAGAATGCTCACGGGAATCACAATAAATACATTTCGTTCGTCTGTATCCACTTCCCCCATTATCAAACAAGAGTTTATCACGATTGCGCCAATTAAGTTTGCTCCCGTTCCGATCATCCTTGACTTCTTTCTCCTCCACACGCAATGGATGTCGATCAACATATTTCTTCAAGTTATCTACAAGTTGCTTAAGAGGCATTGTCTGCAAGAACGATCCTGATTCCATTATGTATCCTGATTCTTGTTCAAATAGTCATTTCTTGAAAATTGTCTTATTTTTTTTTGTTTATCCTCAAATATATTAGACATGTTGAGGATTCCAAAATGGCGCTCATGATCAGGACGAATATTTGCAATTTTTCTAACTTTGCACCGAAGTCGTGCGAGGGTCTACAGAACATGTATCCGTGTTTTTATATTGAATAACGTATGTTCTTTTCACGAAAGTATTAATAAGCCAAATATCTATTTGGAACGGGCGAGTTTAGTGGCAGTAATATTTGCCCCATTGAAGTCCGTCATTCATGATCGAAAACCTGATGGATTCCATAAGGCGTATAGTAAAAAAGTGGATTGTTTCTGAAATTTAAATCCTATTAAATATGTAGATGAATAACTATTATTCGTATCAAATGAGAAAAGTTTTGGTCAAACTCATTTCCCGCGACAAAGGAAGGAGTCTTTATGAGGCAAATCCTCCCCTATGCATGGGCGGTGTAGCAGGTTCGAGAAACCTACTACAAACGAACTGAACAAATAAAGCAAAGAGAGAATTCCAAACAAAACTAGACACAATTCCTCTTGGCTGGTAAACTGACGTGTATCGACTATCGAGCTTGGGCTGAATACCGAAATACGAAAATTGAGACGGCCGTAAACGAATATTCTTCGGTTCCTCTTACTTTTGAAACGACCAGCGTGAAAAAGATCGACTATAGGTTAGCAAGATTTATTTTGGAAGCTACAGTAGGAAAAGGGATAGCAAGCCATACCCAGCAAACAGTTTATATAACATTGCTACTGGGCTATTGAGACATTTCAGAGACGATCTTAAGAGGTTTGATTTGAACATCCTGGCAAAGAACGACGCCAATTTCTCATCATTTAGAAACGCTTTGGATTCAAGGATGAAGAAATGACAAGGGCTAACATTTATGAGATGGTGTCCTAGCCACTATTTCTTGTTAATGCTCGTCTTAGGTTTATTGGAGAACAATGCTAGTCCATTTAGTTAAAATTTCACTTTGTATGCGAGAATGTTGTAAACTGGAGATGGATATTTTTCCATACAAACGCGATTAGGCAGCAATACATCTCCGCTCGGTGGTCATCTGTCATCAATTAACAGCTCTAAAATAAATAAATACACGCAACAAATCAATGTTTGTGTTTAGAGAAGGCGTTTTATACCTTTGCATTCTATTATTTATTAATTAAATAAAAAGTATTTTACACCAATTCCGTCACCATTATCAGAAAATAGTTTGTATTTGAAATATATTTGTAGTTTTAGCTTTTGTTTATAATATGCATGTCGCTGATAATTAAAAGTTGTCGATTTCAATGTTTCTTTTAATATCCGGTTTCTATAACTGACTCAATGTAAATAACACGGCGCTTTCGTTTTTTGGCATGCTTTTTCTTTATTCTCTTTAACCATGTCTGGCAAATGTTCTTTTTAAGTACGAAGGATCCAAAACAATGTAGAGGATGTCGAGGACTGACCACTGAGTGGAATGTTTCGGCTTTCTTCATGCAATGATAACTCGAAAGCTTGCACATTTCCAGAGAAATCGTTTCTGAAGTTGAACTGTTTCGTGTTATATGTCACAGGACTTTCGCCCCCCCCAGTAGATTCGCCCCCCTCTCAAAATGGGGGCGATTTTCCTAGGAATACCGCGGGGGGGGGGGGCGAATATCCTAGTAATATCGCCCCCCTTTAGGAATTTCGCCCCCCCCTATAAATTTTGAATTTTTGATCTAAAAACAAAACGATTGCAAGTTGAAAAGATTTATTCTGTGATTCATTTATTTTAGCAGTGTTAACAATAGCTGCCACAGTAATCACTTGTTAACAATAATCTGTAGGATTAATAAAAAGTCTATGAAATGTGTTGCGAAGCGTATTGTCCATTGAGTCGTCAACTTTCCATCTCAGTGTCAGTGATGTAATGTTGATTCTTGACTTCGGCAAAAAAATTGCATGATATATATATGGTGTGGTTTATTCAAATAATTTCATGATAATTTGATTTTATTAGTGCCTTAACACCCGATTAGCGCGTTTGACGCCGGCTGCCAGCCGGAAATTTTGTCTCCGATTGCCGGCTGCCAGCCGGGCTGTACCGTTAGTATACTATTCGTTCAAAAAATGCGCGCATTTCGGAGACTGGTTCTAGAATGTTTCATAAGCAGAAAACCACCAAAATTACATTAAATTTCCCGAAAATCATCGAAATGCATCTAAATACATCTTCCCAATGCATATAGTTAGCTATGCGACAGGTAAATATTAAACGAGAAAAAAAACAATTTTGGCGAAAAGAAAAATTCAAATTCATTTGCGCGCACTCCGGACTTGAACTCACGACCCTCAGCATACACGCTGAGTGTTGTTCCCCTGCGCCACCACGTCTTACACCGAAAATATGTTAATTTATTGTATATATACTGGTTATTCTTAGCCAGCGCGATTAAAGATTGCGTAAATACGTACACCATCTTACACGGCGAGGTCGGCTATATTGCGAGTCTGCGAGTTGCGAGTCTGAGAGTTGCGTGTCTGCGAGTCTGCGAGTTGCGAGTCTGTGAGTCTGCGAGTTGCGAGGCTGCGAGTTGCGAGTCTGCGAGTTGCAAGTCTGCGAGTTTACGGTGTGGATTTATTGCCTCGAAAACGCTCACTTAAGTGTAATTTTGTGTGCTTTGACGAATTGATCTTATATTTTATACTTTG